AAACCATATAAATGCATGGAGTGTGGGAAAACCTTTCCTTGTAGCTATGAATTTACTATCCACAAAAAGATCCACACAGGAGAGAAACCATATAAATGCATGGAGTGTGGAAAGACCTTTGCTCTGAACAGTAGACTTACTATCCACAGAAAGATCCACTTAGGGGAAAAGCCATTTAAATGCATGGAGTGTGGAAAGACTTTTGCTCAACGCAGTAATCTTGTTTCCCATATAAGAATCCACACAGCAGAGAAGCCATATAAATGCATGGAGTGTGCAAAGACCTTTGCTCACAGCAGTGGACTTAGTTGCCACAAAAAGATCCACTCAGGAGAGGAACCATATAAATGTCTGGAGTGTGGCAAGACCTTTGCTCAGAGCAGTGGACTTAGTTGCCACAAAAAGATCCACATAGGGGAAAAGCCATATAAATGCATGGAGTGTGGAAAGACCTTTGCTCAAAAACGTCATCTTTTTTTTCATAAGAGGATCCACACAGGGGAGAAGCCGTATGAATGCATGGAGTGTGGAAAGACATTTACTCAGAGCAGTGGACTTAGAAGCCACGAAAAGATCCACACAGGGGAAAAGCCATTTAAATGCATGGAGTGTGGAAAGACCTTTGCTCAAAGAGGTAATCTTAGTTGCCATAAAAGGATCCACACAGGGGAAAAGCCATATAAATGCATAGAGTGTGGAAAGACCTTTGCTCAAAGACCTAGTTTTATTTCCCATAAGATGATCCACACGGGGGAGAAGCCGTATAAATGCATGGAGTGTGGAAAGACCTTTGCTCAAAGAAGCCACCTTATTCGCCATAAGATGATCCACACAGGGGAGAAGCCGTATAAATGCATAGAGTGTGGAAAGACCTTTGCTCAAAGATATCATCTTAATTCCCATAAGATGAGCCACACAGGGGAGAAACCATATCAATGCATGAATTGTGGAAAGAGCTTTGCTCAGAATCGTAGTCTTATTTCTCATAAAAGGATCCATGCTCGAGAGAAACTATGTAGCAATAGCAATTCCACTTAGACTTATATACCAGTGCACAATGCTTTCCAGCACTAAGAGTTTTACAAAATCAGTATATTGTCCCCAGCAATCTGGTTTTTCATTTTAGCAACCTCAGAAGGATGAAAGACTGAATCAACCATGAGCCGGTCAGGATCAAACTCCTTCTGTGGGCAATTAGCCTGTAGTACGGCGTTCTAAGCATTGCCCCAGCATGTCTCTACATATTTTTATTTGTATGCATGTTGTGCCTTTCGGATCCAAATAATACTAGGTGAATCCAACAAAATTAATGTGGAGAAAAGCAAAGTTTTACACCTGGCAGGAAAAACAGATTAGGTGAAACCTGGAACGAAAACAGTAACTGAGAGGGATGATCACTTAAACATTAGTCAGCCATGTGTGGGAGTACCCAAAAAAGTTAATACAATTCTTGGTTGTATAAGCAGAGGCACAGAATCATGTCAAGTATTAGTATCACTTCATAAGGCCTTAATAGGACTACATCTGGAATACTGAATCCAGTTTTGGCCACCACGTTACAAAAAATATGTTGAGACTTTTGGAAAAAGTGCAAAGAAGAGCAGCTAAGCTCTTCTGAAGGCCTGAAGAATAAAACAAGAATAGTTGCAGGATTTGAGTTTGGCTAGTCTAGAGATAAGAAGGATTAGGAGTAACATGATAGCAATATTCCAGTATTTGAGAAGCTGCCACAAAGAAGAGAGGGTCAAATGTTTTTCCAAAGCCCCAATGGGCAAGATAAGAAACAGTGGATGGAAACTAAACAAGGAGAAAAGCAACCTGGAATTTCCTTATAGTGAAAGACAATTAACCAGTGGAAAAGCTTGTCTTTAGACATTGTGTATGCTTCATCACTGGACATTTTTAAGAAGAGACTGTACAGTCACTTGTCTGGATCTTTGTGCTTTTTTGCTAAGTAGGAGGTTTCAAAGCGAACATGAGCATCAGTGGAGTTTAAGGTTATCACTTGGCTTGAAAGTGATGTATGGCTGCCAGTATTCAAGTCCTCAATCATTTCGAGAAACTCCCTCTAATGAGTATATCCACTAGAGCAGAGTTGCAGGCAGAAATGCAATTAGCCCTGAATCCCTTACTATTGTTTCAGTTTTTCTTCCTTTGCTTACCATTGTTGTAGTCTGCCTTTCCACCCTTTCACATTATGTAATGCATGTAATAACTGAGAAAGAAAACCATAAGGAGAACTGAGTTGGCCTCTTTGGCAACTGCTGCACACTGCTGGCTCATATTTAAGCGATTGTCCACTAGGACTCTGAGATCCCTCTCACAGTTACTACTGTTGAGCAAGGTACCACATATACTGTACCTGTGCATTTGGTTTTTCTTGCCTAAATATAGAACCTTACTTTTTTCACCATTGAATTTCATTTTGTTAGATAGTGCCCACTGTTCAAGTCTGTCAAGATCCTTCTGTATCTTAAGCCTATCTTGAGTGTTGGCTATTCCTGCCAGCTCGGTGTCATCTGCAAATTTGATAAATTCCCCACCTATCCCCTTGTCCAAGTCATTGATGAAGATGTTGAAGAGTACTGGGCCTAAAACAGCCTTGGGCTACTCCACTGCTTACTTCCCACCATGTAGATGCAGTTCCATTGAGGACTATATGTTGAGTGCGTTGGTCAGCCAGTTACGAATCCACCTGGTGGTGATGCTGTCTAACCCACATTTTTCTACTTTATCTAGTAGTAGGTTATGGTCTACTTTATCAAATGCCTTACTAAAGTCCAAGTAAATTATATCAGCAGCATTCCTCTGGTCAAATATTTTTGTCACTTTGTCAAAGAATGCAATTGTTAGGCATCCAGAAATTGTCCATGGTAATCAATCACTCCGAGACAAGTGTAATCTCCAGTTGATTTATTAGAACAGCTCTGGTACATCTATGGAATTTTCCAAACGGAAAGTCATTTTCTGCGCATTTCACAAATTCCACCTTCTCTCCTACCACTTCTTACACTTCATTAATCACAACAACCAATTAACTGCAGCTGGAATTTTTTAATGCGACATACGAAATAACCTTGAACTTTCCAACTCCTTCGCCCCCCTTTTCCCTTATAACATTCTTGGCAGCTGAATCTCAGAGATGACAGGAATAAGTTTAGTCTGGCATGATCTGTTTTAAACAAAACCATGTTGGCTTTTGGTTATTCCTTTGTTTGCTTCTAGGTGTTCACTGATTCATTGCTTGGTTATCTTTTCCAGAATCTTCCTTGGTATTGAGGTCAGGTTGATAGATCTATAGTTTCCTGGATCTATTTTTTTTTCTTTTTTGAAGATGGGAATTACATCAGCTCTTTTCCAGTCCTCTGGCAGTTCCCAGTGCTCCAGAATATAGAATGTTTTCTCCAATGTGCCAGACATAAAAAAGAAGGCCAAATCAGAATGCCTTAGCAACGGTAGGAGGGAGTGCTGAAAAGTTCATAATTTGCTTGATTGGGTAATGTGACCTGTGACACAAGGGAGGTGGACAGTATCTATTCTTTACTTATACCAAAAATGCAGGAATTATTCAATGTTGGTTTCACCTTTGAACGTGCCGATATGATATACCCAATAAACTGGATTTTTAAGGAATCCAAGGCCTCAGCGTCTTGAATTGGTTGGGAGTATTACTTGGAACCATGACAACCATTCTTTTCATTAAGAGAAAGCAGTGTTAGGGGAATGTAGATGCATATTAAGCTCCCATAGCTAGCCAGCCTTCTGGCCCACCCAGGTCTTCCTTGATTTACAATAATTTATTAAGTAACCATTCAAAAATCCTCCCTCCCAAATTAGGGATACTCTAATCAGAATGAAAATCACTCCGGTGTACTAACATTGCAAATGATCACTCAAGAAGGAAAATCTTTGGAAATCCATGGGAATCAACATGAAATTAGGAAGAACTACTTCTAAAAATTACTTTAGTCCTTCCTGCTGAGACATGCAGAAATGCAAATAGGAACTTTCTCTGAGATGTCAAGATGCCAAAAATAATCCAACCTGCCAATAAAGGAGAAAATGTGTAGCTGATGGTTGAAATGAGGGGTCCTTAGCGCTCTCTGAGCTTGTTTGTTTTGTTGCAGACTTCATTACCCAAACTAGAGAACTTCATCAGATGTTTGACAGACACAGACTTCAGAGGATAATTAGGACTGTAGAAAAAACAATTACTACCAACCTGCCTTCAATCGAGGACCTGTATATTGCCGACCCCTCACATCCTGAACATAAACTCTTTCAACTCCTTCCCTCAAAATGACGCTATAGAGCACTGCACACAAGAACAACTAGACACAAGGACAGTTTTTTCCCGAACACCATCTGTCAGATCCGTGTTATCTGTCATTTCTTCAGTGGAAGAAAGGGCGGGGGAGGGAGACTGATAAAGAAATCCTTTCTTGATGTAACCTGAATATATTTAATCTTATATCAAATTTGTATAACCCACACATGATACAATGGAGGAAGAAAACCCAGATGGCCGGAACCTATCACCTCTGAGAGGTACAGCCAGGAGATGAGAAGACCATAAAAATTCCACAGTGAGATGTGTCCTGGGAACCTCTGGAAAAAAGTTCGTTCTGAAAAGCGGGTGGGGGAAAATTAGGTATGCCCTGGGAAACTGATAAAGATCATTTCTACAGGAGGGGGGGGGAATTAACATACTGGCTTTTGTTTCATTAAATACACATCAAGGAAAGGGGAGGGGTTCTAAACTCCCTTATCTATCCCTGTATGCCTAAGGAACCTTAGACACTGCTTTTAACCCTTACATGAATTGTCTCATCTCAATAAAGGATTCCTTTTTGATACATTTTGATATGTTTCCAGAAGTTCATTCTAGTTGATTGAATGGGAAAAGTTCTGTAGCCTGACATAAAGCAGCGTCTGCAATAGAGGTCAGCCCAGAGAGGAAATTTTTATTTTTATTTTAAAAAAACCTTCACTCTACCGAGAGGACCCTGCAAGAAAGGAAAATGTCTGAGTACAGCAAGGACCAAGGGGAAGCTGAATGCTGGGGAGAAACGATGACTTACCCAGCCAGATACTGACTCAGTGCACCTCATCAAAGATAGCGAAGCTGCCTACAAAACCTCCACAAAGCCCCAGTGGTCTATAGGCGTAGGAAAGAGATAGCTGGGACGGAAGAACCAGGGGAGTAACCCTAACCCAGGGCAATAGTAAACCCTGTTGGAAATTGGAGATGGAGGCCCTATCGGATCAGGAAGGATGGGACGAGGAGCCACTGGCCGATGACCAACTGAGACAGTACATAAATTGCCTCGTGAGGGAAGCCCTGAAGAACTTTGAGGTGAGGGATGCACCAGGACGCCAACGCAGGAGAGCAAGGGAACCAGAAAATGAGAGAACCCAAGCCGCCACCCCAGATTCAGCTGAGAATGATCAGGCAGAGGGACAAGCTGAAGAACCAGCAGCCATACCAGGTACCCGACCCCTAATTGCCCCAGAACAGGGGATTAACCCTGGCCAACCCAGAGACATACAACTGTAGAGGAAGGTCCCACCCCTGGGAGTAAAATTCGATGGGGAACCCCAGAAACCGGGATTTTTCCTGGCGCAAATCCTCACCTATATTCAAGAATATGGGCAGAATTTCCAAACCCAGGGATCCCGAGTATGAGTCGTCACCCTGGCCCTTGAAGGGGCAGCAGCCAGATGGATGGTGATGCTCCACAACGTCAATGCCTCAGAATTAAGGAACCTTGACCGCTTCATGACAGCTCTATGCCACCACTTCGAAGACCCACTTGCTGATAGAAAAGCCCACATCAGAGTCGTAAAGCAAGACTGTCTCCTGGTAGCCCAATACACCAATGAATTTCATGACCTGGCCGGCTGAGTCGACTGGCCAGAGGATATTCTAGTCTGTTGGTTCAAAGATGGACTAAATGACGACCTATACACTGCCTGCCTGGCCCATGGGGCCCCAAACCTCCTGCATGAATGGTA